CCGACGACGACGACAAACATTAATATCGACGACGACGATGCATTGCACACGTCCACCCCACCAAAAGTATAGCGGCTGCAGGTATTCCATTATGATTTATGCTTAGAAAAAATAAACCATTGTCTGTAGCGTAGTCGCAGTAGGTATACTAGCTGGTTTTGTGCGAACTCACCTCCATTACGACTGTGAGGCGGCGGTGGTAGATATAATATAGGGACGGTACAACGATACATTGTATAGGAGCAAAAGAAGTACGGCGGTGAGAAAGTGCGAATCGAGAAAAAAAATAAAAATTAATGCACCGAACGTTTATTATTATCATTATTGTCATTATTATCATTATTATTATTATTATTATTATTATTATTATTATTATTATTATTATTATTATTATTATTATACAAGTAGGTGTATCACGCGCGCACACGACGCGATGTGACGGGTATATAATAATATAGGGTTTTGGGGAAGTGCGGTATAGGTAGGTATAGGTTTGCAGGGAATACGACGACGTGACCTGAACAGAAATCAGGAAATTATGTTTGGATTACTTACACAATTTTGTGACTTCCACCAACCGAAGGCCAAGTTAAAACCAACGCTGCATAATGTATAATATTATAGGCATTAAAATATGCTTTGTGTATAATATATTATAGTGACCACTATTAAATAGGTATATAGGTATACTGTGCCACAACTAATGGGTGTATCGTGTATGCGCATCGGAGAGCTGAACAGTCGACAGGCGAATTATATCCTCCTCTGCGGTCGATATATATATATTTTTTTTTTTGTTTGCCAAAACTTTAAAAAGATTCTATTAGGTAATAACCAAAAAATAATCGTCACGCCAATACTAATAATACTTTATTATTACACTGCATAGTTGACATTTCTAACACATACTAATATTATTGTGGCGAGGGCCTGATATGTATTTTAAAAGTAAAAATTAATTGTAAAATAACTAAACTTTTATTATTTTCGTAAAACTTACGTTCCATTATATGAATAACCATGAAATATACCATAATTTACCTAAATTACATTTCACAAACAGCTATATATTATTACTTTTTTTCATCAAATACATAATGTAATAAATTATTATTATAAGATAAAAACTCATGTATCAATTGTATAGTATACACTAAAAATAATTATTTATATAAATGAAATATTGTTAAATAATTTATTTTTTTGATTAATTAAATTCATAACTCTAAAATGTATTATTGTTTATAATTAATTAATAATTATTAATGAATGCATATATTATTTAGATTACATGGTGAGCATATAAATAAAAACTATGAGGTTTTATTTAATTATACGCATGTAGATTCCATTTTCAAGGTTTTCGTATTTTTTTAAACAGCTAGGCTTTATTGATTCATCTAATAGTAGATACCTATATGTATATATGAATACATTCATTTGGCTAACATTTTTTATACGAAATATTATGATAATACCATACAAAAATAATTCCGTTGTCTATAAAAAATGATAATTATTTAAAACGCTCTTATAAATTGGTTAAAAATATTTATACATAAATAGTTCTATATTATTCAAAAATAATTTCTAATTTTAGAGATTCGAAGTCTCCTTTAATGATTTATGATAATCTTAGGTACCCAATCTATTTGGGTATACCCATCACCAATCAGAATGAAATAGTTCTATATCATATCACTAATTTTAAAGTGCAGGATAGTGATTTTAATATTCAACCTGCAACATATATTTTTTTAGTTTTATTTTGATTTTAATTCACAGAAGTTAAATTTTTTTTTAACAATATAACTACAGTGAATAACAAGTATTGAGAACGACTTATCATCTAGTTACATTAAATTAGATTTAAGCTGCCTAATTTTATTTTTGAAGAAAGTTAATTGTCGTATCAGTGGCGTAATTATGATAAGGGAGGGGAAGGGTTATCATTGTATTTATATTTATATATCAATTTTTCACATAGCCTTTTTTATGTTTTAATAATTTATTTAATAAATAGAAATGACGTACATTTTTTAAACCACGATTTTTTTATAGAACAAAGATGTTGCATTGGTTTTGTATCTTTTAAATATAATATATGTTTTTGGACTGGATATCTGGATACTACATTTTTTTTTACTTTAAAGTAGCCATGGCAACCATAATATTATAACTCAGTTAAAATTTATGTTATAAGGTTACAATTTAGCGTTATAGTAGGCACCTTTATATGTTATCTGAGCTACAGAGGAATAATATAATTTCGTTACCACAAAACCAACAAAAAATGAAAATTCTGGATAAAATTGTTTGTTTCATAATTGGATTTTGTCTAAGTAGTTATATTCAATGTTTTTCTATTGACCGGCGTAAATAAAATCAGATAACAAGATTTCTTTTTCAGATTTTTTCCAAATCAATAATTCCCATCGTGTTTTATCAACTAAAATTGTAACCATATCTATATATAGATACTTACTATGTTATCATTTACAAGTTTTTTAGTAGTTTTTTTTTTTAGTAATTTAAAATTTTAAAAATCCAATATACAAACACGCAGATAATGTTCTTAACTTAAAATTATATGATCACCTTTCGCATCTCACCACCCAGTGTGTTCGCGACACTAATCACAGCAACGTTAATTTATAACTACATAATATTAACTTCCTTATCTTAAGCTTTTTTGAGAGTTTAATTGTTCCAAAAAGTTACTTTTATTTAAACACAAAAACTAATTTATTTATTTTAAGTATGTTTTGTTTTGTTTTAGTAAAAAAAAGAAACAAAGACACTGCAGTGCCGTAGATGCTTCCAGGTAATTAATCAAACAATGCGCACGTTTAATAATTGTTGATGAAGATAATTATTGCATTATTTTGCGTATACGGTTTTGATTAAATAAAATTGTATCAAACGGTTTTATTCCGAATAAGTTATTCCAAACTAATGTATATTGCGATTATTTGTTATAAATAATTTTGAGACATTAAACTAATACCTACCGGGCTACCCACTACCTACTCATGTTTAATATCGTATTCGATTCAGTCAAAGTGAGTAAAAGTGATAGACCAATAATTAAATAGGTTATTTTGAAAACTTACACTATTTCATAAGAAAATGCCAAAGAAAAATATAAAAACATAATTGTATACAGACTACAAAATGTTACTATATATAATATAATGACCAAATGTTCGGGCTCTATTAACATTTCAAGCATATTTTCTTTCCCTCGTAGGTATATGGATTCCAAAATTAATAGTTCAAACGTCATAAAATCATGATATTATTAAATGTAATAATACAAACGATTTTTATTATTTTTATTAGTTTAGAAAAAAAATTAACATATTTTGTCATCTTCACTTCTGTCCCAATTATTTGTAAGTCTCGGAAGTATTAGCGATTAGGTACATACGTCAATATGTCATGTTAACCACTGTATTTTTTAATATAATGTTCCCATTATACTACTATAATGTAATATTTATTGTGTAAATATAAACTGCGAAATGAATGAAGCAATATAAATAGAATCATCGATACCTGCTGTTGTACATAAACATATTTCTACAAAATATTTTTAAATATATCTAAAATGTCACTCTATATGATTTTATAACTGGGTTATTATAGATTATCGAAAAAAAAACATTATAATATTAATTTATTATTCGTATTATTAATGATACCTACCTAAATAGTATTCACTTGATCCGATTTTTGCATGACTACAGTTCAAAGAAACCTTAAAAACATTGTATAAAGTCATTACCTTTACAAATTTCCAACTTCGCAGTCCATTATTCCTGACTTAGATACTCAACTTATTTACCATACCAAGATAAACGTAAATTTTTATGTTGTAAAATGTTAAAAAAAAAATACCTCTTTGGATTTTTAAAAGTCAAAAAGTATAATCAAAGTTTCCAAATATTAAGATAAAAAATAAAACATAATATTCATATGTGTACCGAGAAAATTGTGTATAATGTTTATGACTCTCAGAATATAACTTTTTATATATTTCCCTATGGTCAATTTGAACAAAGGGTGTTTGAAAACTCAACCATTTGAAAATACTCAAATATCTGTTATATTATGTCTCATTATTGAATTTACATTCAAAGTAGTTGTTTGGATTCAAGATCATCCATGAGGAATATTTTGTGTGGACTGCATGTATAGACTTGGAATACGGAGTTGGTATGAATGTTTACAACATCTAACTACCTATACATATATTATAACTATATGAATTATAGGTATGGATGCTATAGGTAGTATACTTACAACATAATTGTATAGCTTAAATGTTTAACTTTTAAGTTCTAACATGACAAAAATGGTGTGCCTTAACCAGACACGCACAGTCACGTTTTTTTTTTCAGAAGGGTAGGCATAGAGAATCTTCAATAACCAACAACATTTAGTAAAATATTTTTGTAATTTAATTTCACTCAATACCTTTTATAGCAGTAGCACATATTATTCAATTTCCATGTAATTTATTTGTATTTTGTAGAATTAATCGGACCGGTACTTAAAACAATTTACATTAAAACAATAATTTGCAAGTATACAACTATATCACAGATTTTTGTCCCAATATCCTCCGATTTCAGAAGTCATATAAATAATGTCCAATTTTACAGATACCGCTGTGTAATGAGTATTAAACTTTTAAGATTTAATTATAAGACTTAAATAATAATCAATCTCTATAGATTGTATAGACTATAGATACAAGTATCATCATGAACGCACGTGTGTACTATGTAAACTGTAGTTACGTACTTTAAAGCTTAAACCTCTCGAATGCCAATTAATTAATAAATCTGAAATTAATTATTATTGTTAATAGATATTATGTAATATATTGTCTATAGTTAAAAATATATTAATTCAGAACCAGGAAATCAATGCTGTTGGGCCAAAAGATTTTTTTCAACAATTTAATAAGATATTTACAGAAAAGAGGAAAATAATTTCGAAGTTATAAAATAACTTTTTTTTTTATTCGATCGTTCGTTTGTAATTTTACTCATCCATATTTTTTTTTATTTAATGATAAATTACATGAAATATGTTTTGTGTAAATTCTTGATTGCTGGTCTCTGCACCTGTATGTTTTTCATTTCCATTGATTTTATAATTGCAGGTAGGTAATTAAATTTAAAAATGTATTATATTATACGAATCACGAATGTATCATAATGTAAATGCATTTTTCATAAACTATTTAGCCATTAGTTTTCACAGACGCCTTAACTAATATAAAAATGATACAAAATATTAATATCTTAAAAACAATGTATAAATAGAAGTTTAAAAAAAAAACGCCTTATCGGTATTATATTTCGCTTAATTGCATCGCTCAATCCTTGCGCCATTTTAAATAGGTACTTTACGGTCCAAAATGCAACTCCAAAATAGTCTTGAAATCCTAACAGGCTGTGTTTGTCTGCTTATCGAGGTTATCTAATCAATATTTTGTGAGGATAACCTGATATCCAAACTATTCTCTTTTTGTGTTTCTTCCGAATTTTCTACTCCACTTCTGACCGTCGACTCTTTTACTCTCCGTTCCTTTAGATGTTCGTTGTACATCCAACTATTAAAATTAAATAAAAACGAAAATCGATGAATGATGTATATTACAACGAATTTATAATTTATCATATTATGCTTAATAATAATATAATCTAATTAATTTACTATGTACTTACAGGAATATAATAGCTGCTGGAGCCGTTAACAAGCCACCGAGTAAAAAAAACGCTCCAGGAAACGTCTTCAATGTGTGCTTGTACACATAACTGTACATCGGTCCATAAATCAACGGTACCAAAGCTTCACAAACGCCAAATATTGAATTCACCTTGCCTGAAATATTATCAGCACGATTAACACGATAATTTAGGATTTAAAACTGCCCATACCTAATTCATCTGATGGCACGAGCTTGGAAATAATTGATCTCATAGCAATAAATGATGTACCATTTATGATTTCCACAAGTGGTGCTGCAGACATACAATAATATTATAGTGTTGTATGTCACCACATTTGGTATATATTTTACAATGTTTTATCGATTTACACCAATAATTTAATTACAAACAAAATACCCGTGTACCTTGGTGACTCATAAATATTTAATTTTAACATAAATAAATGAAAAAACCTATTAAATATTACATATTATTAGATAACAGAGAATTTTATAAATTAAAAGAACTCCTTAGTCTTGTATATTATGTATAATAAATATTCTATAATTTCACGGAAAAAAATTAAAAATAAACACATTCATTTAAAATATATTCGAATACAAATTATTATAATATAACTCACCTAAGTAAAATATGAAAGCGGTAGGGGCAAACGCATAAACAAATCCTGCTAATATTTTGCTCATACACGACATTACTCCAATTAAGGCATCGTCGATTCCCAACTTATGACTGAACACACCAACTGAAAACATCGTACCTAAATGATAAAAATAAAAACATAGTTAAAATTATACAATTATTACCACAGAACCAATCGGTTAGTTAATTATAACTAACCTACAGTAAAAATATTCATAAAGTACGTATCGATTTATTTTGACTATTGGTATTCAAATACTTTTTAATCTATTAAATAGGTACTAGAAGAATCTAGAAGTATTTCACTGTATTTGAATTCTAAATACATTTTAATCTTATACCTACTAGTGCATCTGTGAAGAGAGAATATTTAGGTGTTGAAAGTTCAGATTTAATTTTTTTTATAAGACATCCAATATTATAAGATTATATTAGTTTTGAGCAAACCACATTTTTAAAATACAACCAACATTTATATGATTTCATGCATACAAAGTTATTTAAATAATTTCTCTTAAATAATAAAACTTTCATTAATAAAATGTGTTGACGTTGATAACTATTTAAAAATGTCGACTACCTACTATTTTGTAAACAACTGCAATTAAGTTGATAAAATCCTAATACAAAACTTATTTATATTTAGAATTAGATAGTAGAAGTATAAAAAAAGTCTGTATCTGTAACCGTGTCGTACCTAACTATTAACATAATATTACTATAGAAGTTGATAAAAATAAATAGTACCTATTTAAAATACTTTTTTAAAAGTTTTGAGTACCTGCCTGATACTTTAATACATTTCACAAATAGTATTTTTTATAACAGTTCAAACCTATAAGATTGGTAACCATAGCGTATGTGGAAAACAAACTGAAATCAATTTCGTTCCAATTGAATTTTAATCGTGTAAACATGTACATCATTGACATTTCCCCTAGAAATCAAAAATTGCATTAAATCCAGCTAAATACTGTTTACAATCACAATACCGCACACTTGTATGCAGTTTGATTATGAAGTAAAAAAATATTTGTTCTATATTTATTATTAATAAGTAATGGTCTTATAATAATTAGTAATTCCTACAATGATAATTATGTGAAATTTCGTATTAGTTTATACGAAAAATAAAGTTAGTAAGACAAATTCTTAAAACACACCAACACAAAAACACATAACTCACATGAGACCTTTATAATAAATCAGTTGTATAGGTACATATTAGAGGTTATGATAAATAATTGGGTCGGAACCTAAGGGGTAGATTTTACAGGCATACATATCGAAGTGTAATGATAGTGTTTTTCCAACAATTATCTTCATTTAGGTATAACATGCATACAACTATTTAACGCAGGTAAGTTGAAAAAAATCTCAAAGAATAGTATAATGACTATCATTTATTTTATTTTATTTGCAGTTTACACGCCCAACGGAAGTTACAAAGAGGCTACTAAGAGGTTACTTAAGTTCTTGAATAAATTCAACTGTAAAAACATAATGTACATATTTTCAAAAGATGGGAATCAGGGACTGTATGTCTGAGCATGCGATGGAGGGGGTGGTTATGGCCATACTAGATAGTGCGACTGGGGATAATGAAAAGGAGATAGTTGGGGATAGTCTACGATGGAACTCTAAAAGAGATTCTTTCGAGAAGATCTGGAGCATCCAAAGACGCAATAAAAGGAAATTAATGAACCATTAATCAGCTTCGACGTGTCGCAAGGATTTCATTGATAGGAGAGTAGTCGTGAAACTATATAATATAATGAATTAATGAATATTATAGTTTATTTTTGTATTAGTATATGAATATAGTGGGTATTATAAAACGTCGATGTATTCTAATTTCTAACAAATATATATAAATTATTTATTATTCGTTGAATTTTAATCAAAATAAATTATGCGAAATTTGATAATATTTAAACATAGTTTACAAAAGAAATGATAATATTAAATATATTCATATTTGAATTTACGAACCATATAAAGGACCCATGACGACAATGACGACAACTAACAAAGAAATGATTCTAAACCTTCTGTTGTGCTGTCCTTCCTTAAACGTCACTCCAATGGCTTCCTTGATGTTACTCAGGCTAAAAAAATCCTCGATCAAATAAAAACAAGACGTGGACTTTGGTGGTTCTTTGCTTTCTAAACATGTTTCTGGTTTTGGTTCTTTGATAAATATCCAGCCGTAAGAAATAGTAAATGCGTACATCACTATGGCTATGGTGTACACGCCATAAAATCCGAGTCCTCGGAACAATACACCCGACAAAGCGGTTCCGATGGGAACGGCTACTGAGTAAAAAACGTTGGCTATTCCAATTCTCAGTGTACGGTATTTTACCTGAAAAGTCAATGAAAATTGAAAACATATAGTTGGGGAAAATCTCTGAACTCAGCAAATCAAAAACGTATTTATTTCGATTTTGAACATAGGACGTTTATTATTTGTTTCACGCTTAAGATTTAATGTTTGACAAAATATGTTGAGACTTTTATCCAAAATTTAATTTGTTTTTCGCTCAACTCGGAATGAAAATATTTACCGATTCCCAGATATTATACAACTGCGCAGTAAAATTATTTTTAAAAAAAAATACCTACACCGAATTATCCGATACAATTATTAAGTTGACTATATAGTTAAATTAGGTATAGGTTTATATAATAATATTTACGCATCCAATTGACTAGTCGTGATGTCCACCATTTGTTTTATGAACTTACCGAAGATACGTCGCCTATATAGCTGAATATGGCCATGACCATTGTCATCCACCCGCCGGTCATGGCTGGAGGAAGGCACTCCACCAATCCGACCACTTCCACGGGCAGCTCGTAAAAATAATAAGTACAGACAAGTAGCCCCACGCTGGTGAGTAGCTCACCCACGATGGGTACCAACATGCACGGCTTGCGCTTGTGGTTCCGGTCGCTCCACGACCCGATGAATATTATCAACACCATCGGTATGCTGCTCTGCACGATCGTCTTCCATATGATCATGTCGGTCACCAGCTCCTGGACCATGACCTCCTCCTTGGCGTAGTCGTCCGAGTTCCGGTTGTCCAGCGCCGAACAAGTGCTGTTGGGCAACTTCAGGTTCACCCGGCACGCCTTCTGCAGGTTCAGGTTCTGCGTGCACAGCCCCGTCAGAACGCTGGTCATGATATAACACCCGAACATGGGCTCGATTGTGCAGTGGGAGAAGATGAACTTGAACTTCGACACGATGCTCATGGTTTGCCATGCCTCGGGAGTCTCGTCCGGCGGCGCCGCGGGTGACGATTGCGGCTCGCACTTTGTCTCGCCTGCTGCGGTCTCTTCGTGCGTGGTGGTCTTCGAGTGGTCTTCGTCGATCATGTTGCTGTTGTTATTATTATATTATTATGGCCGTTGACTAGTCAGGCACTACAACAGCAACCAGTTGAAAGCAACAACTTCAACTCGGCAACGTCCGATACTTTCTAAAACCATCATACAATTTTAAACCGTACATAATAAACGATCATATATTATAATCAAATGAAATAAAAATTTAAAAATATTTGTTTTTTATTTGGATCGCATTAATATTTAACGTATAAATAACAACGATAATGCAACACATTGTGCAGGAATGCACGACATTTATATTCTTAACAGGGCATTTAACCGTTCATTCTATCCATCGTATAAGCACATTGTAAATGTAAAGTTCATGCAACCAAAACTCTAGACGTTGAATAACATTATAGATGTTAAACTCTATGATTATAACATTATAGATGGTACAATTTTGTTTTTAATGGTATTTTTGATACTGGGACCTCAAAATAAAATTTGATTGAATTATTTATTTAAAATATTTGTATACTGATATCTCGGCTCACAATGTTAGTAAAAATAAATGGCTAGAAACCACATATAATGTGCACATCTTTAAATTTTATATGAGGTCAATCAACTTTAATAGCCTACAGAGGCCACAGTTTTGGTTCTATACTTCTACGGATATTAAATTTGTTGTGCTGCTACACTACATATAAAGGGGACATCCTTTCAATAATTATTATATCAAGCCAATTTTGAAATTTGAATACTCAAAACTTATTTGCATATATTTCTGTAGGGTTTTATATTTGTCAAGATAATAAACTTATTACTTACATTATAAGTTAGGAGTTTCTTCAAAACTGTTTGTAAATTTAGTTTAAATTCGTTTGTCTAGTTTTGATTTTCGAAAAAACATAAACAATAATTTAAACTCAAAAGTAGGTATTTCAAATTTGATCAGTGTAATTATGAAAGTTGTTATGTTTAAATACTAAAAAATTTAATTTGAAATAATTATACTAATGAAATAGTAATGGTGTAACCGAGTATTATTTGATATTATTGAAACCACCTACATATTGAAAATAATAAATGCATATTTTTTTTCATTGTACAATTCAAAACCAGCTCAGGTTTTAGCTAATATTTCTATCTGTCTCTCTCACTTACTCCTTCTCTTCATATAATTCTTATATAAATACCTACTGTAAAACCTAACATGACCTACGGTATAAGAGTATCGTTTAACCGGTTTAAAGACCGTTACAGAAATTGGGTGTGCCACTAGGCGCTTAGTGTTTTAAATTTGAAGGCAATAATAAATCATTACATTTAAAAAACATTTAAATACTAAATGTTCCATTGTTATATTTACCTTTTGCATTTATTGTTATGTTAAAAGGTAACTAACTATAATCGCAAGCTATTTACAATTCACTTTTTTTTCTTCGTTTTTTTCTTTAAACGGGTATAGTAAAAATTTTAAATTTTAAAAGTTTTTAAATTAACAATTACATTTCATTATTATATATAAAGATATTTATTCTTAAACATGTGTTTTCTGAAACATAATATTTCATTATTATCTAGTGCGCAATATCTCAGACTACAATAATTATGTGACTAGCATAGTAACATCTTACATAGGCATTTTATATTTATACTACCTATTTAACATTAAAATGAAGTGATTTTGCACAAAGTTTTTATCATTCTAACCTAAACCAATCCTAGTAGTCATATTAATATGTTCTACAAAATGTAAAACGCCAATACAAAGCATCAAACATTCGAAAAATCCCAGTCTTACAATCCATTACTCTTCGAATGACAACTGTGTTCCTTCAAAATACTTTTTTAATACGATTTTACGAACTGACACTGTAGATACCTTAAAATTAATCCTCATTGTGTGCATAACCCTATTATAACTTTAATTGCATATAAGACTTACAAGTATTCGCAATTATATTATTTGTTGTAAAACTAGATATTTTAACAATACGTTTGACTAAAAACTCAGTAATAAAAGTGTTATTTTTTTTTTTAATTTATTGTGTCCTAGTATTTTTAATTCAAACAAACCAAAATTAAACCATTTTTGTTTGATTTCAAATCAATAGTAGTAATGCAGTGTAGTATGGAACTTCCAGAATACCTTTAATACCCAAAAACGTGTTTTCCGATGAAAAAATAAGTATGGCTAAAAAACCAACAAATTACATTTTTATGAATAATTGTAAAACTAAAATCTTCCTCTCTGAGTTTAAAATATAAATTAATTAATACACTCACACCATAATTTATTTATAGAAACTATAAAGTATAGTTAGAACATTTTTAATAAAAAAACAAGTCGGTACTTAAAATAAACAATTGTATCATTGCTTTATCTTGATTAAATGTGATAAAATTATAATATTATATTATAACGCATTTTTAATCTATTAATGGCTTAAATAAAATAATGGTTATATACCTTATATATACGTCAAAGAGAACATTTAAATTTGAATAAATATATTATATATATTATACACTTCTTAATAATGTATAAAAGGCCCTCTCGTTGGTCCTTCTGTACTTAAACGAGCTCTAAATTGATTGAGGTCTTTATAATAAAAATAAGTTTAGTTCCAATGTTTAAATCATATACTAAAAATGTACAAGGTTAAAATAATTTATTATTCATACAACAATTATAATTTAAGCTTATAGGTAACAAACATGTTAATACTTTTGAATTAACTTTATACCTTTGAATAATTAGTAAAATTTCTAAACTCAATTGGAGCAAGGGCATATAGTATAAATAAGCTTTACACCTAAGATAGATGTGTCTAACATTAACCTAATCACGGACTAAATTATAAAATTCCAAAATATATTTCAATAAAAAAATATTTTATTGTTCATATTATGTTATATATTCCTTATAACCAAGAATATGAATCAAGATTTCTTAACTTTACCTACCAATTACCATAAATAAAATATACATAGGGAACTTTACTCCTGTATTTTTCTTTACTGTACAAAATAATGTTAATATTTTTTTTAGCATTTATAATATTCTACAAAAAAAAAATACAAACAAATCCGGCTATTACAGGGATAACAATTCAAATTAAGACGCATTTACAAAAAATAATGATGTATACGACCGAGATTTTAAGAGAACTCGAAAAAACTAAGTAAAAACTTTCAATTATTTTTAAAATAGCGACAGTACAAAAAAGAAACCGATTTAAAGGCCAAGGTAGTTTTGTATGACGTATAGACTAAAATGTGAAAAACATATTCTCTTTATATTCTCGTCTAAAAAATAGTGGTAGTGGGCTTTACTCGCGTTGCAAGAATCACTCCGACAAAAAATCTGTGCGGTGTAATGTGCCTTAACAGTGACTTTTGTGGGTCACTTCACATCATTGTAGGACATCGTCGGTGGGATTATCTCTTGCAAAACTATTTTTGCATGCATTTCGACAAAAAAAAAGTATAGTACAATAATACAATAACATTAAAAATATATAAATATATATGCGGTCGAACATCGGCGCCGCATTATTGCAGTAACGTATTCAATAGATGTTTATAAAAAAAGGAAAAAGTGCATTTCGCGCCCGTTTACCGGCTGTATATGGCGTTAAAAAAAAATTCAAATAATAAATGAACATACGGAGTTACGTATACGTGCAGTGCTTACCTCTTGTCCATTTAGACGGGTGCAAGTGCATATAATATAATAACAATATATTACATCCCTCAGCGACTGGCTGGATGTCGTGAATACTCGCGAAACAACAACAATATAATATTATTATATATAACTTAAGCGACGATCGCGGTTTACTTTGATAATATTATTGAAACGTTAAACTATAAAAAATGATTTTATTATTTTACAAAACGACGTATAAGAGTTTATCATCACGACCATCGTTATAATATTTCATACGTCTTACAACAGAAATAATTGTAGTGCTGTAATAAAGGTGCATACAATAAATATACCTAATAATAGTAATATATATATACATATATATATATATAATATATTACATTTTAAGAACTATCAAAATATACAGCATTCGTACATCGTAGTTATATTACTATTCACTGTATATTATAATATTATTGTACAAGCACGACGATGGTCGTTCGATAACACCAAACCGTACAGTGATAGTAACGATGATGATGATGATGATGATGATGATGATGATGACGGAATGTCTTAAAGCGAGTCTCGTACGAGCTTTATTATTATTATTATTATTATTTTATACCCGTGTGCGGCTGCGGTGAATTCGAGTGGACTTGGCGCGTCCGTGAAAAAAAATTTAAAACCTCGTAAATGTGGGTACACCCAACACCATACCTACCTCGTGAACGCGTATATACAATATATATGTTATAATGCGATATACATCGCGAATACTTGATAGCGATATAATATGATAATATAATAATATATGACGGTCGTCAGAGTCGTCTAACGTCCCGTTTAGAGCGCGTGCGTATTCCACCGGCGATTCCGCAATGATAAATGTTAATATCGTTTTATTTTTCGCCGCATGTACCTACCTAATATAATAACAATATAAGTGTGCGTGTAAAAAAGTACCTCGACCGAACCATCCGCCCGGGGTGGGGGGGGGGGGGACTCGGTGGCTGCTGCGAAACGGTTCTCCACGTCCTATACGCATATACCAGCACAGATGATGAGCTGCTGCGTTTGACTCTCTTATTCTTATATCAACAGATTATTACGTTATTACAACACAATACGCCACTATCTGTCACTCGCTCTGTGTATGTGTCAATCTCTCTCTCTCTCTCTCTCTGCGTTTCTCTCTGTCTCTATCGGTGTCTCTCTCTCTTTCTCTCTCCCTCTCTCACTCCCGCCACCTTAATCGTGCTTTTGTCGGTATTTTAGAACGTGCGCGTGTTAGTACCTGCGTGTTTCGGAGCTTGAGCGATAAACCTGTGCCGAGGCTATTCCGAAATCTCGCAAACGTCATAGTCGACCGGTCGAATCGGTGGTATATACCTACGATAATGTATTACCAATACTGGATTAGGCAGAGGTGTGTATAGTATATACACTATATCACTGTTTATATTTTTAAAACCAGCCAACAAACTCGAGTCGAAGTCTCTTTTGTTTTTGTAAGACTCGAATTTACGTTGTTATAACTAATGACTATTAATTTTTATATTATAGATAGAATAATAATCATGGATCACTACGATTTCGACTGTTAAATTAGCGTTTATTGATTGCGATTATATTTTTTTCTCTTTCATCACTGGGCGAGGAAATAACCATGTAATGTATAGAAGCTATAGGTACTGAGAAAAGGATATGTATAATGTTCACGTGAATTCACGCTATAGATAATGTCCAATTAAAATTAATTTGATATATTGTTACATAATAATATCATGCCAGAAAATATTAAATTTTGAGTTCAAAGTACAAGAAAAAATTCAAAAGATAACTTCAAGTTATCTCTAAGAGTTTAGACTATTCATTCACAAAAAAATAGCGTAGAACAATCTAGTAATCTATATACCTATTGTAACAACAATAGCTGATAGGTACAATTGTATCAAACTTTATCTTAACACAACGTTATGCACGTATAAAAAGCACAATTATTATAATAGAGTTAAAATATACATTAGAGTGGCTACTAACATAGTTTAAAATGAATTTTTTTAAAAAAAAAATACTAATTTTTGGAAGGGCATTGTTTTTGAAACTTGTATATTATCAGTTACATTATTTTTAGCTAATTACACGTGTTCACGTTTTAATAATACAATACGTATTATTATTTCGATTTTTCGTCTCGCTGGTTTTAAGGAAATGATAAATACTTTTGTTATGGACAAATAATATTAGATCAATAATTATCAGTATTATTTTTATTGGATCTAGGGTTGATTGAATCTTCTATAAGCTTTCAAACGATTTAAAAATACATTATTAATCAACTTACTTTAAGAATAATAAATTATGTAATAACCTTCTACAACTCATTATAACCTACCAACCCACACTACTACCTACCACAAATCCTATTCAATTTCATTGTGCTATAGAAATAAATTGAATTCTTTAACTGGTAGATACTCCGCCACCCCTATGATCTAAAATTAAACCACCCTTAAGAATATGGTATATCGGATTATAAGGCATATTATTGTATATTTTGAGACTACTTACCTTAACTACCTATATGAATAAACCTTTACGAACTTTGCTAAATGTTGTCAGTTTTTACTCAGTTTATCTAGGCCCAGTAAAATAAAACTAAGGTTAGAATCGATTTCGGCTGTCGTAAGAATTAGGTAGGTATCCAACTTCTCCTTAACTGGAATACAAGATAGGATCAAGTATAAATATCAACACTTACTTGGATCGGAAAAACGAGGGATGTGTGTAACAAGTTTTTAGAGAGACATGCGTTTCCCTAAAATCAAAGCTCCATTCGTTCATATGCATTTACAATAACAAAAATATACGAATATTATATTTATATAAATCAAGTTTAATCATGTGTTATGGAGTCTGGGTATCTTATTACTACTATAATATTATGTATCATAATATTAATTGAATATATTTATATAGTAATTGAAGAAATTGGGTAAACTCATGGTATCGAAGTTCTATTAAATAGGTAATAATAATAAATTTAAAAAAAAAGATTACAGCATAAAATAGCTTTTAGATCAGCCTAATGACCTAATTATTCCGTATTCGTATTTAAAATCAGCTTCAGAACCAAAAATTGCATTTAATTAATTACACATTCAATATTTAATGTTGGTAAAAAACAAAATCATAATTAATGAAGTAAAAACATCAAAAAAACTTAAAATAAAATGATCTTATATAATTTATTTAAATTTCAAATATTTTTCTTGACTTTCAATACAAATATAAGTAAAACAATTATTTAAATATTCGGGAAACAAAGTTAAAAAATAAATAATTACATATAAAATATAGTGATACAATAACCTCTCTACTTCTACAAATCATTACTCCTCATACAAACTAGTTTTTTATAAAACCGTGAAACGAGGCGATATTCTACTTTCCAATGATACATATTGAAAATGACATCATAAGATACTATAATTCATTGTATATTTGTTCTTCCAGTTTTCGGTAATGTTAGCACTAAAAATCCTGAAACTAAACAGTTGGTGTTAATAATAAACCTATTACTAAATTTAATACTATGCATTTTCAGAAAGCATTAAATTATCCAAACACCTATTCACAAGACTGTAGTCGTTTATTTCTTGATTTTATCCTTTGCTTTGCCACCCGTTCTTTATTTATCACCAAAAACTATTTTTGTTTTTTGTTACCCTTTTATCTGTTCCATCTTTCTGCAGGGTAACCTTCGTCAGCGGGTCGCTACTGTTAACTTATCTTCTTCGCTGATTTCCTCTTGGGCTTTTTCCATCAATAGACTTAGTCATTCATCACATCCTATCCCTCCGCTTTTTATCTCAAATACTTAAGACATATCGTTCATTAACTTGACCCGACAATATGTCTTAGAGTTGTAATGATATGCTAACTCAGTAACACATCGTAGTAATTATCATTTAATAAATAACAGAAAACTCTTTATTCACAACTCACAACCAAGGAATAATCATCTTCAATATAAAATATGTACAACAGTGAGACATAATACTGTCGTCTATCATGAAGGCATTATTAATAATAGCACACAACCTTCATCTATACTACCAAAGAGAACGTATTGCCAAAAAAGCGATCTGACATCGAAGACAGATAATCTTTGGAAACGCAGAGCTCTTTGTATCAGCCGACTACCACTCACTGACCAGAGTGATCGACCCTTGTGAACTTAGCAGTGCAATATTAACAGAGTGTAAGATAGCTCTTAGAACGCTAAAATAGATTTAGGTAATTATATGGTATTATAAAAAGGTGCAATTATTAAGACAGGAGTAATTTATCATTATTTGAAGTCTAAGGACTAAGAGATGCAAGGGAAGTGCTCTCAGTAAGTTCTCTATAAAATAGATCGATAGTTTCAATATGTTTTAACCACTCAATATTTTACTGCCTCAGTACACTGTCTCAATGACATTTCATATAACAGAATTAAGTTTAGTACCTTTGATAAAAAGTATTCTTATTAAGAATATTTAGATAAAACAGTTAGAGTAATGATATTTTTATAAGCAATATGCAGATAACAGTGTCAAGTCTTTTTAAAATAAATATCATCAATATATAGGTATCGCGGTACTAAATATAGGGATAAACATAGGGATAAATATAGGACGACGATGCCGGAAGAGTGAGAATTTACGAGATAAGGAATTGATTAAAAATAATCACCAATATTTGAAACTAAAAAAGCTCCAAAAATTAAATACAAAATACATGGTTATAGTAGGAAATAGAAGGTATATATTATATTACATTATATTATACATTATATTCATTTATACACGCTATGCGGTGTATACACGTGATATACGATAGTATACCTAATATAATAATTTGAGATAGCAGTACATAAATAAAAAATGTCTAACTCCGAAATAATGTCTAACAAACTTTGAAAGTTGTCTACCAATCTCTAACAAACCTAGGTGCATTGTTTGAGCGAAATAAAAAAGTTCTAACAAACTTTTGCACTACTGCCGTGAAGATAGCAGTGCAAAAAAAGAAAGTGGTCTAACTTCGAAATTAAAGTTTAACAAACTTTTAGAGTTGTCTAACAATCTCTCACAACTCACTAACAAATTTTTTAGACCGTTTTAAAAGTTGTCTATTATCATGACACTGCTAATTTCGCAAGGGGCTTATAATAGTACGTATATGAACAATATTTTATTCACTGCATAATATATAGGTAAGTATAACATATGTTATTAAACACATTAGCATGCATTCAAAAATGTTGTAGGTACTTACTTATCAAAAATGAACACGATACCAAAATTGGAATTGCACAAATCTCATCGATAAATACTCCAACAACAATATTACCCATTAGTGCGCCTACTTTTCCAAACGTAGAACCTATAGATACAGCCATACCCCTAAGAAAAAAATAAGATTTGATAATCATTATTTCAAAGTTTCAAACCAATTCCAAAGTTTACCTGTATTCTGTAGGAAACAACTCGACAGCGATACAATACATAAGACTAATACCCACGCTGGAAAGAGCTTCAAACACTGAAGATAACACGAGATTCTCAAGTGAAGACGTAATGAAGTATAAGCACGCAGCTGACAGACCTGATCCTAAAAAGCTTACCACTAGATGAAACAGAAATAAAATTAAACTCAGTTAAAATAAAACACAACGTTTAATACCTTTTAGCTAAATTATAGTTTTTAATGTTTATCTGATTATGTTAAGATAATCAAAATTCAAAATTATATTATATACTGATTACTATTTTTAAATATAATATATAAAAAATATGGTTAGCTTAAAAATAAAATGTCTGTACCCAAAAAAAATCTGAGTCCTAGTCTGTTCACGAACAGTGGCACGATAAGACTTGTTGGTATGCATGCGATTCCAATAATGACAATGTTCAAGTACACCGATTTGTCGATATTATCATTGCACACTTGATCTGTCTCTTCGGGTTCGACACGAAACATGGACACAATTTCACACATATTCGTCATGTTTTTGGGGCCTGAATATGACGTTTCATACCATCGAAATCTATTCATCAGCTCTGGAAACCACAGCATAAGCATATAATAACTGTGAACAAACAATTAATGGAAGTGTTACTATAAATTATGTCTCACTTTGGTATTGACAATTCTTGACATTCGCTAAACGAATAGGTGTTACCTGGTAGTGGCACCATATTGTATAATGCATGTAATTATGGCTATAAATTTGTACTTAGACGTAAACAACCCTACAGTACTTTCGTAGAGTCCAGTAAAGAAACCATTACTATGTTCATTCATGCAATCAGGTAAAATTAATGAAGTCACCTAAAACGTTCAGATAAAAATAAAATTAGTATTATCGTAAATATTTATTGAAAGTGGTCCTGCAAAGCACTCTTGACTAAATATGTAATAATTAAACTTGCCGGAAATTTATCGTCAGTCTTGTGGTTCCATCTATAAACGAATTTCAAGCAATCGATGGTCTCGTCGTGCTTACCCTTGGCGAGTAAAAACTTTGGACTTTCCGGTAATCTCACCAATAGCCACGCCAATAGTAAGCTCAGAAGAGAACATATAATGACAAACAAATTCCATGACCTGAATAAAAAGAATCCATATTCGATTCTGAATGTTTGTGGTATAATTAACCACGCCACGCCTAAAAAATACTAAAATGTTATTTTTTGAATATTTTTATTAAGTTCATCAATTATTGAAATTAATTATATTCTATTATGTTGTAGGTATTAATTTTATTTGATTTACCTATAGTAAAAATGAATACAAGACATATATTATCGGCTATAAACTAAAACAGTTTTCGGTTACCTAATTAATAATATAGAACAAGGCAATGGACATCGAAATAGATAGATGATTTTAAAAGTGTTAAGATTATTTTTATTTATTTAATCAACCACCATATAGATATTAAAGACGTGGGTAGCACATAACGTCTTTTCAATGATGAATTAAATTATACCAATTGAGGCCAAGTAAGTACATCTATATCGAGTATCTAACTAAATTTAATAATAACTAATATAAATATATAATCATAAATACAAAAATGTAAACAAACGGCCTCAATTGCTTATCTATGTTGGACCTCAAAACTATAATAACACAATACAAACAAATCAACAAGCGCAATTCGTATATTAGTATATTGATTTAAATACAAATTTTGTTTTGCGCGCAACTGATCAATGAATTGCTATGCAACACCATTTCAAGTTAAGTCACAGGTTAACCGCTATGTTACCACTCTTATCGTTTTCTCATATCTCTCACAAGCACCCGTATCTAGACCCAGTGTAGACAATTTGCATCAATATATTGTTATTATAATCATATATAGTATGATTATACAATTTAATCTACCTATAGTCCAGCATGGGATTCTAAAGAATTTAAGAAACTAAAAGTTGTGTCTTGGAATTTTATGAACAATTGATCCCCTTACTTATTTTGTTATTTAATTATATTCCCAATTCCCAAAGAACGTTACAGAAAATTATTGACAATATTGCAGTCTTAATTTAACCGTGATATATTATAAAACAAAATATAAAAGTCGTATTATAGGATATATATATTATATTAATTATAAAATACATATTGTGTTTTAGCTTTTAACGCAAGTAGTAAATTCTAAAAATATATTTTTTTGAATATGAATTAATATAAACATTGAATATGCGTGTTACATTAAATTTGGTTTATTTTTGTAATTTGTAAGTTGTAAGTTATCAAAATATAATATAATAAGTTAAAAATGTATACTTCATATATTATTTATTACTCGTCTGATTTTAGTACCATATTTATTGATTTTTATTTTATTTTATCATCTTTAAGTTTCCTTCTACTGCGGTGTAGATATACGCCATAGGCAAATCATAAGTTGATGGTGATTTTTAGGTAGATACGGGTTTAATATAACAATTTAATTTAATTTTAACGTTTTAAAGCACTAAAATAAATCACGTATAAAAAATGCATAGCTATAATGTTACAATGACTCGGGTTTTGCAGCCATGAAATTACTATAAGCGAAATAACATTTTAGAAAATATGTATATTCTTGCATGCCGATGTGCCTACACTAATAATGTTACCTATAGAGTAATTAAATTAATTTTAAACTATAAGTATGTATTGTAGAATATTATTGTCAATATAGGTACATATCAATACGACTGTCTACCAACACTTAACATTGCTGACAGAACCACTTTCGAGGACACTCTACGAAGTGTAGGTACTAGGTACCTAAGCCAGTTAGCCGTCGACCCGGAGAGCTTACTGCTAGGGTCAAGGTCAAGCGCCTTACCAGGAAAGGTGACAATAGATATTATTCAAATATTATAATGCTCACATGGAAGTATTATTATACCGGCCGTCCAAAACATTTCCATCCAACATAGAAATTTTTCACGATATTTGGTGTTTACGAACTCTCCCAGATAAGAATATAGCACTGTGGCACCGGACACTCTATATACGAACAAAAAATACATTTTTTAGAATATGTAATGACTTGTTAGTTGTTAATAAATACATTATACATAGGTCAATGGGGTGCTCAGCTTTTTTGAAAAGAGAGGGATGGATATGAAATTTTGAATATTCTCAGACCACGTTACATTATATACATCTATTGCTTTGCCATATTTTTTATATGACAAAAATAAGCCCAAGGGGTAGGGAGAAATTACACCTTCATCCCCTCCCCTGATACAAGTACCACAATAAGGGCAGATATATCGGTATGAGAGTGGTTTATCTTGAGATAAAACCGTCTTCTAACGCACTTGTCTATAAATTTCTTCAAAATTGTTCGCAGTTATTATGGAAAACTTCAAAAGTTTCTAATATATTGAGTAGTACATATAAAAAATATATCTAGTGGTGAAATGTACCAACGTGATGAAGGTTCTTGGATGTTTCATATCAGGTACTTGAAAAAGTCTTTACACAGCCTCACAGGAAACAACTAAAACAATTATAAATAAGAGGATTACCAGTTCGAATATGGTCTGTCCGAAAATCATAACGTGTTCGAACGTAAACTGATCGAATAGTCGAGTGTTCGAAATAAAACATAAAAAAAGTTTGAATTTTTGTCATTCTTAAAAGTTATACATCAGGTTATTCAGGTTATATAAATATAAATTATACTACAAATTTAAATTGTGAACGATTGCCCGTAAATATTCAAATTACTAGCACGTAATGCTAGCTAAGAAGGATACGTGAATTAATTGGTTTCAAACTAAAATTTAATTCTATGTTAATTTTTTTTTGATTTTTTGTTTGTATATTTTTCTGAAATACAATATGTATTGACAAAAATTTAAAAAAATATGTTTAATGATGGAAGAAACTCGTATATAACATATATATATATATCATCGCAATTGTGTGGTAAAATAAAGGCTTGTAAAAAATACTATTATTTTGTCTTCAAATAAATGAGTATATTAGAATATATTTTTCCCCCGCTAATATTTGTGTCAGTTTTGAAATGGTTCGCAATGAACGTGGGTGAATCATATTTTATTCGAAAAGAAAAACTATTATTTACAACTTATAATGTGCCCGATTTTTAATAGAAAAATTTGTTTTGTCACGAATAAAAACTTTTTTCGAGTTCAATAAAAGTATTTTAAATAAATAAAAAAATACAAAATACTCTATTTTTTGTACACCAAACATTTTTAACATATTATCAAATGATCATTCGGCCAATTAATATCCAAACTTATGACCTTCGGATAGACTTTATTCGAACTGGTAACCCTCGACCTAATTAGTAACACTCATCTCAATTATAAACATGATATTATTAACTAGATTCCTCATTTATACGACACAACCTAACCCAGATATGTGACACAATCAATTGCCAAAATTAAATCTCAAGAAATTGAAATATATCAATTATTTAGTAATTATAGCGCCCACGGTCTAAGAACAAATGACATTGCAGTGTAGCATTAAATTTAATGCACACCATCTACAGCGCCCATCATGCGTTTGCCGGCTGTGCAATAGGTTCAGTAATGTTTTTAGATATATTATATTATGTTTGATTTACCCAAATCCACTCATCAGTCGGCAGAATATTAACACTGGGTAGATCTGAGATACACTGGATATGATACTAAAAACGCCGTCCATCGTCATACTCAATATCAAGGCATATCTTCTGCCCCTGGAATCAGCAACGTAACCCCAAATAAAAGATCCAGTGAACATTCCTAAAATAAACCAAACGTGGAATGAATAACTTTCACCACTGCGTCCATGATACATACCAATCATCGAAGCTCCGTTGAGAATGCCTTTGTGGACAGAAGTCATTTGAAAATCACATTGTGCAGAAGGTACAACAAAAGACACTGACGTCACGCTAATGGCGACCGCCGAGAAAAGTGACCCACAAATAAATAATATGTAATAATGAAAATTTCCAAATCCTGTAAAATAGGTTATGTGTTAATTGTATTAGTTATATTATTATTAAAAAGAAATTATGAAATGTAGATTCTTAGTGGAACGATAAAATACTTCAATCTTAAACTTTGATAGTGGTCGCTGGTAGCGAACTAGATCTAGTGGATACTTTGGAGGGTCAAAAGTAAAAATGATTTGTACTTATAACAAACGAAAAATATTTGAAAAATATTAGAAAACTAGAATTTACGCAAACGGTTTCAACAAAACTGATCTTTTCTATGATTTTTAATAGGTATAATAAAACTTTTGTTTGTGAGTAAAAAAAGCTCAAAAACTATTATCAACACAAGTTCCTCATAAGTCGTTTGCACTGAAATGTATAAAAAAAATATTGAAAATACATAGGCACAATTTTTTTTATAAACTTTTCAAGTTCAAATTATGCCGATGTTTGTTGTTCACATATACAATAACAATTTATCCTGAATTGATTTTTGTTATTTTATTATTATTCTAAAAAAAATATACCCTATAGAATTAAAAACTTTTCAGTATTACTATCAAAATATTATAATTTCTATGCTCAATAACGTGTAAAAAAATATTTATACTACCTAATTTTAAGCTACTAATATGCATTCGAAATGTTCGAATTTTTTGATGAATATTGGTTTTAAAATTGCTAAGCTTGGTCAAAAGCTTGGAAATTTAAAAAATGATTCCTCATATGCTGTATTTATAGTTGTTTACAAATATTGAAAACAACAAGGGATAATTTTTTATAGATATTATATGAAGGTTAAATTTTGACAAAATTCGATAATAAACAAAACAAGAATGAGTTTAGTTGTTACATTTGTTGTAATTCAAAACACATTATTCTCAGGAACTTGAAACTTTTAGCTACTACATGTTTGCATATATTCATTTTTATCATATACTGAGCACAATAAAATTTTAAAAGTATTTAGATTAATTTTAAGATAATTATTCCACGAACCTATTCACACGCAATTCAACTACGGAACTGCGGTACGTCGGGACTGTTGACTAATTTTTTAATAACAAATAGTAATGCCATGTCTAATGAAATGTATGCAGTTTGTTTTTTGGCAAAAATTATTTCTACTTACCGCTGCAAAAATAAATTACTAATAGAAGTAAAAATGTATAATATAATATCTCTTAAAATAGAAATATAGGAGGCTGATAGGCCTTCACTCCCTGTTTAAAAATATTATAAACAATAGTATTGAAAAATAATAATATATAATAAATAATAATAATATGAAATAATAATAATATAACAATATTAGTATTAAACATTTTAAATAATAATATAAATTATATTATATTCCACAATATATATTGTCATTCCACCAATCGTTTTAAATTTAATATTTATTTATTTCCTTTAGTATAAAATAGTTTTTCATGCTAGGTGTCGGACTTAACATTATATTTTAAACACAATTTCGTTAAGATGCCGATAAATTTAAAAATGTAATCGCACTTACCTAAACTATATGTATGATAAATATATAGACAGAGTTTGAATAATTTAAAATGTTAATAATAAATAGGTACTAGTTTCAATTCACTTACCAACCATTTCGATTGCATCGTCCAAGTGTACAGGTGGTTGAGCAACAAGGAGAGCGGTATCTTCGACGTCTAAAATAAACATAATATCATTTCCACGTATTTTCTTTCAAATACAAATCCACTAAAATTTAATTTTCCTAAAGCTATAAAAAAAAGAATCGTATTTACCCTTTGACTTGTTTTTATTCATTTTAAAACCGAATAACCGACAACACTGTATAAACAATAAAAATAAATAAATAAACACCACTTTGACGGTTAGGTGGTGGCTGTATCGACGACAGTGTTTGTTGTTGATGTTATTTCTTTGAATGTTCGGATAATAATTATTTCGGACTTCCAATTAAACGATCGAGACTAATTAATTACCATACTGTCCATATATACATATTGTCGGCCAACATCCATCAGTGTATGGTACTAACACAATCATTAGTATTAATAACAATCAATTGTCATAACTCCGGATTGCAAACTGTTGACGCGCTTTTAAATTAGTCACGGGAGTCTGTATTGTATAAAAATATTTTCAACTTTGCGATCTATATAATCGAGGTTATAAGTAGGTACGTCGCAAATCTAGGTGGGATAGCAATACCCCGTCTAAAGATATTTTAATAATTCCACGTGAATACCTGACCAAGAAATAGCATTTCATTACAATATCGTACATTCGTACCCAATATAATCTATAGTACGAAATATGTTATCACCGTATACCTATTATGTGTATTAATTATTAATTGCAATGTCAATATCACTAGAAATCTGAATGGGACGACAGTATTAAATAAAATTCGTCTGTAATTTTTTATTTAATACAACCATATAAGTATCTCTCCGTATTTTATTACGAAATGCTTTTAGATAATATACAATGTAATTATTGTTCTCACACCACATTTTAGCAGGTTTAGAGCAATATTTAAAACAGACGCTTACTTAAATAATATTATGCACTTGACAAATGCAGTGTCGAGTGGTATGTCATAAATGATGAGCTTATTCTATGCCTACTGAGAGAAGGATTAAGGATAATATATTAAAATTTTCACTAATACGAGTTAAAGTACCTAAGTTTTTCAATTTTCATATACAATTAAATAACCTATATACCATAACCATATAATATTTACCTATGTGGCTAATCTATAATAGGTATGTTAATTGTTAATAATTACTTATCAGTAATTACAAATGTTATAACCTATCAAAGAGGGTATTATATTATAAATACCTCAGCCAACTATTCATACCCATAACCATAAGTTTATCGTTAAAATATACTTATTGCTATATTAATAGTTATTTTATTAAATATTTATGAAATATTATACTGTACAAATGGTAATGTACACTATAATTAGAGCTGCACATTATGATTATCAATATTTTACTAACTATAAAAAAGTTATACACCATAATTTGATTAATACTTAATAGTTCATACCGATTATATTATATTATTATAACAAAAAATATAAAATAAACACGGATGAGAGGGCTGACCAGATGGGTGCTTCGACACTTCAAACGGCCACTCTCATACTCGGCTGGTATAATACTCAGTGCTTGAATTGAGGGGGAGAGTGGAGGTTGACGGAATATACCTCTTATTTAAACAGCTCTTATATTTGTCATAATCGATATGGTATTCAAATAAGGTAGGTACGCACATTTTTTTTTACATCTTCGCATTATCCCTTTCTAATTTTTCTTAATTCATGCACTGATTATATTTATATTGCACTATTCATACAATATACAATATAGATCTGTAAAACGTAACTAAACACAGTCTAAATATGCGTAAAAGAAAATACTGATATATTTAACATCAAAAAGGAAAAAAAAACAGCAAACATTCACAAATAATATTACAATATATAGTTTTGAATGCATTTTCAGAAAGTACCTCGACATAGTACCAACGTATTAAAGTGTATGTATTTTTCTTTCAAAATCCCTGTTTATCAAGTTTAATAAATATTCATTTACTTACATAATCTGTTATGTAAATATTCATTTTTGTACAAACTAAAATAAAATAATAAATTTATGTTAGATTTACATTTATATAATTATAAAAAAAACAGGATATAAAATTGATTAAAACAAGTTCAAAGTTCTCTCCTCCGATAGTTTATTTTCATTTTATGGCGGTCCTTCCAGTTTTTGGTAATGTTAATACTAATAACCCTGAAACTAAACAAATAATTTATGTTTACGATTACGACCATAATTAAATTGGTTCATAGGAAAAAACTTAATATTTTTACTTTAAAGCATCTACTATTGACAATTGACTTCTATTGCAGAGACGTATTTAGTCATTCGTCTAGGGGTGGGGGGACTCAATTTTGTTTCACTACCACTTGCCTAAAGATAATTACAATTCAACATTTTCGGGGTATATATGAATGATTTATATAAGATTTTCGATTCATTTAAATCGCCAAGTTATGATAACAAATGTAATAATTATACTTTCACGATATCAAATAATATACAATAATTTAATAGTGTACCCATGACGTACTACATAATATTAATTTTTTTTTTCAATTTTAATAAAATCACATAGTAACAAAATATTACCTACGTATAATAATATAATGGTATAAAAATTGATTCAAATTATGTTTACACGACTAAAATAAAAAATACAATACAGTCTATGAACCTGTGAGATTAAAATAAATATGTTTTTGGGCTACATTTATGGTTTTTGTTTCTGACCGATTTTTCGTAAAGTTTTCGTTGTCGTGGTTATTTGTTAACAAAAACATATTTACTATTCATAGATTTTCCTTGGAGAGGAAAAATATCGTGAATACTTCATGGTTTTGAAAAATCATTTTGTGTATTATCAATTATTTGTAGAGGTTATTAGTTATTACGGTTACGGTTACAAGATAAAGTAAATAGCAACCTAGTATATAAGGTAATTATAACAATAATAACGTATCCATAGGAAATTCGAATTTACTTGGTTTAGCCCCCCTCCCGTCATTGAAAAATCTTGGGTATGCCACTGACTGCATTACGAATAATAATTATAGCATATTATAGATACTGAGTGCAGGTTTTGAATTTATTGGTTTCAAAATGATATGTATTTTTTATCAACTTTGGCACTTTTGGGCACCGTAGAAATGCTTTGATTTTAAACTTTAAGGGTAGAGTATTGAAAACAATCTAATCCACTAAGTACTTTAAAATGTTGAGAAAACTCGAGAAAGCTTGAAATTTTCACCAAATATTCATATAGTTAGCATTTACTAAAGATGAGATATTTTTTTCACTTCTTTTTTAAAGTTCAAATGTTTATATAATTCGTCAAAATCCCCAGGATATTCAAATAAAACATTTTTAAATTGTATTATTTAAGACTAGTAAGAACTTGAACATTATGCAATAAGTACATGGTTTCTTGTACATTTTTCTTACAATGAACTAAAAGTCCCAATTATTTTCTTATATTTTCAAAAATGTATTCGTAGGAACTCGAAACCTTTTGCCACTAAGTGAATAATAATCTATATATAATATATCTTAAATAATGTTATATAATAATTACTGTATTACGGTGTATGACATTAAATGCAATTCGTTTTTTGACAAAATTAGTTCAACCAACAGTTATATAAATCTACTGGGTGTTAATAGTTTATAGGGGTAATAGAATTATAAATCACTAATGATTCTATGAATAAAAGAAAAATAGAAAAATATTTTTAAAAATATAGACATAAACCGTCTCCGCTCAGAATCATTTTTCGTACTAATATAACGATTTATCGTTGAATTTAAATTCAACACATTTTTATTACAATGGTGAAGAGATAATGACGAAGTATAAACACTCACTATAGCTGAGCGAATTTCTAGATTTTTTCAAACATTTAGTATACTTACTTATCAAAAAAGAGCACGATACTAAAATAGGAACCATACAATGTGCATCAATAAATACACCAACTATGATGTTGCCAATAACTGCACCTATTTTGCCAAACATGGAACCAATAGATACGGCAACGCCCCTAAAAATAACAAAATATTAAGAATATTAATACTAGGAATTTTGATATTTCTAACTTTCTAAATTTACCTATATTCTGTTGGAAATAGTTCAACACTTATACAAAATACTAAACCGATACCCAAGCTAGAAAGAGCTTCAAATACTGAAGATAACACGATATTCTCGAATGAAGACGAAATGAAGTACAAGCAAGCGGCGGACAGACCTGACCCGAAAAAACTTAACACTAAATAAAAACATTAAATTAGATTAAAAATTACTAAAATAAAAATACATATGCATATTTATCGACATTTATAACATTTATTAAAAATATATTCAAACCTAAGAAAAATTTAATTCCAAATCTGTTGACTAATAGCGGCACAATAATACTTGTAGGTATACAAGCAATGCCGATGATGAGAATGTTCTCGTACACAGATTGATCGATCTCATCATTGCATTTCAGATCTATCTCTTCGGGTTCAATTTTAAAAAGAGATACAATTTCACACATATTTGTCATATTTTTGGGACCTGAGTATAATGTTTCATACCATCGAAACCTATTCATCAGCTCTGGGAACCACAACACCATCATGTAAAAGCTGCACATTTGAAAATATAGAACCAACGGGTTTGTGTAAAATTACTTTGTCGTTATTATTGGTCAACATTTTTTTTTATTATTATTAGCTTAATTGATTGTTACCTGGCAGTGCAACAAAATTGTATCACACATGTAATCATAGCTACAACTTTGAATTTAGACGTAAACAGCTCCAGAATGCTCTTGTAGAGTCCACTAACGAAGCTATTATTCTGTTCATTAATACAATCGGGTAACACTAGTGAAGTCACCTAGAACATCCATGTATAAATAAAGTAGGTTAAACACTTAGGTACATTATTAACATTTGTTGAAAGTGGTCCAGCGGGAGCACTGTTGGCTAAAAAAATAATTAAACTTGCCGGAAATTCATCGCCGGTCTTATTATTCCATCTATAAACGAATTTCAAGCAATCGATGGTCTCGTCGTGTTTACCTTTAGTGAGTAAGAACTTTGGACTTTCCGGCAATTTAATCAGCAAACATGAAAAAATTATACTCGGGAGCGAACAAATAATTGCAAATAAATTCCACGACCTGAACAAAAAGAAACCGTATTCGATTCTAAATGTTTGTGGTATAACTAACCATGCTACACCTAAAAAACACTAAAATGTTATTAATTGAATAGATATTTTACTAAATTTATAATTTATTGATATAGCTAGGTTGGTTCTTAATTACATTATATGAATTTTACTTAACTTACAAATACACGCAATCTTAGTACTTTCTGTGTATGTAAGGGGGATTTTGGCCTAGATGTAATACGTAATATAGATATTATTAAAATGCTCACATGGAAGTAATATTACACCAAATGTCCAGAACATTTCCATCCAACACAGAAATTTTTCACGATTTTTGTTGTTCACGAACTCTCCGAGGTAAGAATAGAATACAGTGACACCAGACACCCTAAAAATGATTTATCAACATGTTAATTTGTAGTCATCTATTTTACCGTTACAATACTTAGGTAATAAATAAGGATAAATGTGTACACTGCTTAGTGCAGGTTGGTGTTTCGAGTATTGAAACGTCCCCCCCCCCCCCGGCTGTATTTATGCAAAAAATGTGTACTTACTTACTAAATATGTTGTCATATTTTAATACTTCTATCAGTTCTATTGAGTATTTGATATTATTAATAATACGAAGGTCGATGAATTTAATTGAGAGTGTGTAAATCCCCCACAAGTTGCATTTATATACAAATTAAATAACTCCATCTTGAGGGGAGCTCAACAAATTCTGGCTGAGTTTTTATACTCGTATAGTCCGTAAAGAGTATTCCACTATAAGATCAATTGATTTAAACTGACGAGATAATAGAGTTTGTAGCCAATTTAGCCATTGCATAAACAGTAAATAGCAGTTACTCCGTTAAATATAAGCTACCTAGTAATTTTTACAACTCTAAATGTCGGAATGGATAAAATTATTAAGTTAGAAAAACTCAATCTGCGAGGGAGCTAAATTCTCGGTTTCTAAACACTTATTTTAATACAACGCAATAAACAATAATTCCATATTATGTGATTTGAAAATAATTGTTTGCATGATGTATACATGACCTTTATATTTTGGTGAGTACCTGTTTTTTAAATATTAGCTTCTCTGAATCTATATTAAATAATCATATTTTGATATTTTTAAATACTGATTAGTATGATTTTATTTTGAATAGAATCGTGGTCATAAAATGGGCTGGTAACTAACGGGCGGGAAGATAGAAGCTACGGTGATATATCATATATGCCGTTATGTTTAGAAATACCTAAAACTAGCTGAATTAGGATATGCACCATCCGGTTAAATAATTATATTGATAATATTTTCTCACCCAAATCCACTCATTAACTTGCAGAATATTAACACTGGATAAATCTGAGACACGCTTGATATGAGATTGAAAATACCATCGATCATCATACAGACAACTAATGTATACTTTCTGCCTTTGGAATCCGCCATGTAACCCGTGATAAAACATCCGAAGAACATTCCTGAGAGAAACCAAATATTGAAAAAATCACATATTATAAATATGAGGAATGAAATTCGTAAGTACCTATCATCGAAGCTCCATTGAGAATGCCTTTGTGGACAGAAGTCATTTGAAAATCACATTGTGCTGACGGTATAATAAAAGACACTGACGTCACGCTAATGGAGATTGCTGAGAAAAGTGATCCGCAAATGAATAATATGTAGTAATGAAAACTCCCAAATCCTGCATATAATAGAAACATATTATTGACATTTCTTGTTTGAAATGTTAGGAACAGTTTTAATTAATCTCAAGATTTCACTACTATCAACATTTTAATGTCGTTAACATTTCTTTTTACCTGTACGTTTTAATACTGAAAATGTTCCCAAATTTATCGAAATGATATAATTTTATTAAAAAATAAATAAAGATGATAATTATAATGTAATAATTAACTATCTAAATGTATAAAGTGTACTTGTTTCTGTGTGACTATGCCCATCAATTATTGTAGTCTAAACGTCATAACACCTCATTTAATTTAATTTAAACACCATTTAAAACAAAATTAAAACTTACTTTATTAAAACTGAATCAAAATTAACCTCAGTATATTATAAAATTTAATAAATATTTTCTTATAGATAATCATACATTTCCAACCCTTACCAGCCCAAAGGTCTCCTTTTAGATTTGGAAAGTACGATTGAATAATATAATATAACGCCAATAAAAAGTATTTAATGACTCCAATTATTATAGCTACTACCAATGGCGTATACAAGTGTAATGTGACAATGCGAAATTATAACTTCGCAGCCTTTTTATTTTTTTTTTAAATTGTATGAAATATTATTATTTGGAGAAAGAGTAAGGAGTAAAATAGCGTGGAAACGTAAGTGCCTACCTAGTTACTTCATAATGATACATATTTCACATATCATTATAATATTCAGAACCAAGCAACAATGTTTACATTTGATACAGATTAAAATATCTTCTTACTATGAATGTTTTCGTAAATGGTATATTTTCTATAGCTGTAGATATGCCATTTAGTATTGTACAAACACTTTTAGAAAGCGAAATGCACAATAAATATATATAATATTTATAATTTAGTGCGCACTCTAGTGATGTTTTTGCAGATATACTTAAGTCACCACCGACATCACAAGGCGCTCTGTAGTTGAGTTACTTTATTAAAATAAGCTTATAAAATACGATGTATAATTTTGATTTTAATACATTTTTATTTCATTTTAATCTTGAACATCATATAGGTATTACCTTTCAAAAAAATCTCCATTATAATAATTGTATTCTTAATATTTTAAGATTAAAAAAAGGACCTTTAAAAACTGTTTCATTGAACTAAATATTTTATAATTATAAATTATGTACTCTCATATTCATAATAAAAATCTATTTTGTGGCTTGGTGTGGCGCAGTGTTTGACCTCAGTCACTAACATGTTTTGAAGTCAGCCACCAGTCGATGTAACTAGTTCCCGGATGGGTGACCACCTGGATTTCAGTGACAATAATCCGCACTATACATATACACGTGTTCTAACCGAAAGTACCCTCCCTCACAGTTCAAAACCTATATAGTAACCTTCGGGCTAATGACCATATTTTTTGAAGCCTTAACTTAATAATTTAAAAAAATCTATTTAAAAATCATATGTACCTATTTATTATTTATTAATGTATGTTTAAATTTGATTTGCTTTTGCTAGTTTGCTACAATGCATATAAATACAGTTTTAACTTTACAGTAAATGGTTAATTTGATATGAGTTCAGTGACGAATAGGCTTACCAAGAAATTGGGAAGTTCTGGAACCTTAAGATACCTAAAAAAAACTTGAGATAAAAGTAAATGCACTTATTCACCATTGCACGCATGAATTAATTTCAGTAAAAATTATAATATTAATGGAGTTAATAATACAAAACAGTGTGTTCCTTATACAACTTGATTATATTCAAATCAAATTTATAAAAAAGTAGTGCAGTTGTGTAATATTTACCTATTTAAATGTAGTAAAAATCATAACTTACCGACAATTTCGATAGCTTGGTCCAAATTTACTGGTTTGGTTATCAAATATTTAGAACTTGCTATTTCTAAAAAAAAAATTATCAAAAATAGTAGTCTTGAGTACATGATAATATTATTTAGGTAAGTACTGCATGATACTTTATAGCGTATTATTATCTTTGATTGAGGATCTAAGGCTGAAAGCTCTAATAGAGCTGCTCTATACCGTTATAAGTATTCAAAAAACAAAATAAGTTTCTGAAATGTAATAAAAAAATAATATGGATATAGCTCACGGCTTTATTATTATTAATATTTAAAATTCAACAATATTACAACTCGGTTACAAATTATAATTGTATTATTTATTTGCTCAGTGTATTCATAGTTTATAATTTAAAAATCAAATCAAATTTTTTTCAAAAACTGATAAGTAAATTATAACATCACAATAATGAATTTATTAAGACTTATAATAAATAATTACAGTACGAATATATATTATTACGTCATGGACTGCAATAGATACCAACCATTAATACTTGTGGAACGTCTATAAGCATGCAATACAATTTAATTTTTACTTTATCGCCACTAATTGCAAAAATATGCCAAAAAAAATCATCAGAAATCAGAAAATGTTGGCACCTAATATAAGTTCAACATCTTGTAAACGAATAAGTGGAGAGTGAGAAAAACAGTAGGATAGTGTGAAATAATTAGAATAATTTAGCAAGAAACTATTAATAAAGTAAACCAAGTAAACGTCAAAAGTCCTCATTACACAACACATCACTCAACAACCCTATCTAAACGAAACCAAAGTACAATCCTAGTCATATCATTATATTAAACAATTTAGAATTATGAAATTTATATTTTCAATACATTTTGGAAATTATCCCGTATCTTTTTTTTTGGTCGATTATAAATTATATTATATGCTCTAAATATTATTGGCCTACTAATCATTAATCTTAATAACATTTTACATTTAAAAGTCTATTATTAACTTATTCATTTAACTTATTAATATTACATTTTGTTCTTTAGAAAAAAAAATGAAATTATCAACATGTTAAATGGACCCAAATAGTATTTATGTGTATATATTATATATATTGCAATTAACATCAACATATATTAATCACATATTATATTCAAATGTTTCATTTACAATTTAACATTGCTTAATTTTAGAATACCATCTGGCATCTTGTTACTTATTAATTACTTCAATTATTATAACTATCCTTTTGATTATCGATATTAATAATCATATTCTTTATTACAGTTATGACATCTTAATATTCTTTATTGTATGCTGTTCATATACGAACAAATACATATTGTATTTTATTTTTCACGAGTTCATCCATATTAGCACAAAAACGGAGAACATGATGGAAAAATTGGGTATAATGTAGGTTTGAATGGTCAGTTTTTTTAATCTGAATGCCTTTAAAACTCCAATAATTTAAAAGTACATTGTTTAGAATAGGCAAAGTTTCACTAGATTGTTTAGTTGCGTCTACTCTAAGTTTAGGTAGAAATTAATATTTATCGTAAATTATTTACAGTGATGCCCCCGTGACCACTCGCTCACTGCGCTGTGCTCGGACAAAAAAACGATAATATGATCCTGGACTAACTTATGTGTTTTCCAATTAATGTTGGTTCCAATTTTTTCGATTAAAAAATTTAATATTTCAAATATTTGTTTTTCAAAGAATTTCAAACACTCCCAAACATGCACTTTTTATGTAAAAAGAACAATAATTGATTAATAACTGGTAGGTTTGGACCACAGCATTTTCACGTGAAAGTATTGTCATTTTTTTAATATTTTAGTTACAATAAATATAATATAAGACAACAACTTCAAACCAGATAGTATTAAACTGTAACAATTTGTTTATAGGATAGAAATTTTATTTTATTTAGAAATAGGTAAAACCATACATTTGAAAATCAATAGTATAAATATTATTATGGCTGTATAAATTTTAATTTTAGTAACAGTTGGTTGTCACAACCGAAATTTTGTTGTATTATGAATATATGCATACATGATGCAGGTATATTATAACGAAGCATCGGTAATTACAATTTACAATATATATAGAATAAAATAACCACTTTCAAACTCTCCTTATATGTTATTTTGATGTCTGTCACATAAAAAACGTCTACTGCCTAACTAAAGTTCCGTGTACATTTTAAAAACTAAAAAAGTCTTAAGTGATTCGTTGTTCGCATTGTAATAATTGTAAATATTATTAATTTATAGTTCAGTACTTTCAGATTTAAACTCACCGAAACTTTTGATATCCTTATCCAAATGTAGCGGTTGAGTGATTATGGGACACGTGGACTTTGAGTCTTCTATATAAAATAAAAACAAATTATTTCCATATTTCCTTATAACATTTGATTGTTTTAAAAATTTAAGCTCACTATACACTATTGTCATCAACCATTTAACTAAAATTATATTTACCTTTTGAATTATTTTTTTCCATCATGATCAACAAGCACTAATCAAAATCATGCATAAAATAACGACCCTCTGTCCAGCATCCCTAACTAAATAGTTATTACCTACTTCAACGTCCGTGAGTGCAATAAAACGATTGCCATTTCAATTCGATATTACTGATCGAATTTACTATCGGCAAATGTCATAATTATACACAGTAATTATATCGCCTTAACACAGTCACGGATAAATGGTATTATTAATTAATAATTAGGTACTTATCAATTTTCATAACTCAAAAACGCAAACTATCGTATTAATAACGTTCAAATTGGTTAAGTGTGTTGTGTACTTGTGTGTGTGTGTGTGTGTGTGTGTGTGTGTGTGTGTGTGTGTGTGTGTGTGTGTGTGTGTGTGTGTGTGTGTGTG